ATCTATCTATCTATCTATCTATCTATCTATCTATCTATCAATCAATCATCTATCTAATCTGTGGAATTGGTTTGTCTCTCAAAGGGAGAAGGATTGAATCCTCTAGCCACAATTGTTCCATCCTATGCAGCAAGGAAATGGCATTGTACAAATTATTTGAACTTTTTATTTTGATAAAGGGCAGCATTGGAAGTAACTGTTTTTTTCCTCTCATGCCAAGACTAAAAGTTGTATACCAAATGAGGTAATCCCTTATCCCACTCCAGAAGATGGATTCTGGCAGCAGCAGTTACCAAGCTGCTAAACCAACAAAGGAAATAGGATTGGAGTTTGAATATCAGAGATAGCAATAGCACCGAGATTTATATATCACTTCACATTGCTTTACAGCCCTGTCTAAGTGGTTTACAGGGTCAGCATATTGCCCTCAACAATCTGGGTCCTCATTTTACCGACCTGGGAAGAATGGAAGGCTGAGTCAACCTTGAGTCAGTCAGGATTGAACTCCTGGCAGTGGGCAGAGTTAGCCTGCAATACTGCATTCTAACCACTGCATCACCACAGATCCTCTGGAAGAAGTTTTAGGACCTCCAGCCATCAGCAATCCATAATAGAGTGGATTCATTTTTATTATAGAAAATAAAAAATGTATTGCCTTTTCATTCATATGCTTAAAATGCAGATTACTTTATGATTAAGGTAACATTGACTGTGAGCAACAAATGAGTTCTGGTAATGGCTTGGTCTCGTCAAATTTTATTTTGTTCCACAGCAGTGCAAGTGTGCTCACTGTGTCAAGTGTGAATTGCTATTTAAAAATAAGGTGACAGACTAGTGAAATTCAAATCTTTCTTTAGAGGCAGGCTGTTCTCTGTAATGTTCTGCAGAGGTTTTCACCTGAACAAATCTATTTTAGATTAGTGTAGAAAGAGCTCATAGAATTTTTTCCCCCCAATGCTCAGAAGTCAATGTGAATGTTAGTGGAAAGCTCATCACTCAAGTTTTGCATACAAAAATTAAGGATGGAAAGGCTTGCTTTGTGGAGTATAATTAATTCAGTGATACACTCTTTAATCAATAACTGTCTAGGGTTAAGAGAAAATACTAAAGGAGAAGACTTCACAGAATTTGACAAAATAATCACTGCATTCTCCAACACCCCAGTGAATTGAAACCATAGCTAGGATTTCTGAAGAACTGGAAACAATTTTAAAAAAAACCTTAAAATGTAAAAAAGGCAAATGGGATTGCTTAATCTCCAAAAATCAATGACCAAATCGGTTGGTGTTTATATATATATATGAATATAGCTCTTTAGTTTGGACAATTTAGCATTTTAATCGAACCTTTTGTTCAAGAAGCCACCATAAAGGCCTCCAGGGAATTCATAAACTGACAAGGAATACTACCACTAGTTGCTAGTCATGAAATATAGCCAGATCTTTCCAGAAAGTTACAAGGAGCAACAGGTATTTTAAATATCTTTTTTTCTCCTTGGGATTGTACACATAATGTATGTAACAGCCCCTTAGCCTGCAGGACTCGAAGAGACGCCATTTGATCTAATCCTCCTTTAATGACATCTAGTCCTGAGTGGCCACCCTTGCATTCTACGTGGGTGGACAAGATGCAGTTCTGCAAAAGACAGGGAAGACTTCCTCTGAGCTTAGTTTGCAGCTTAATTTTTGATTCCTGAGCATCTCTGAACATGTAACAGACAAAAGAAAGAAAACCAAAACATTTTTTTCTTTGAAACTTTTTTTAAAGAAACTGCATACATCCAAGACAATTTAAATACCATGCAGTTTCAGTATGTACAAATTGAAGCTCTAGATGTAGAGATTCACTTTAGTGTTTTCTCTATTTACATTTCATCATCATTTTTCATACAGCCATAATCTGTTAAATTACAATACTGGAAGATCACAGTCTTGACTGTCACCACATTCACTCCTATACAAAGACAAAAACTATGTACATTCATTTGACGGGAAGAGAGTCTGGGAAATGTACCGGTTTCAGAATAACTTGGAGAGCAACTGGAATCCTCATTTCTAGTCCTGCAACCATTAAGTTAAACTGCCTAATCAAGTTGGATGTGGGACTGACTTGCAATCCTGGATGCCTTTTGCAAGATTTACAATCATTATTCTTTCATAGAGATTAGAGTGGGAAATGGTTCCGCCAGGAGTGGAAAAAAAATAGATGTTTGTGAGAGCTTCATGTGAACAACAGAGGCTTAGAAAACTGAATATGCTAGGAAAAAGGCTTCCTATCTCCATTTAAATAAAATACATCCTACTCAAGCCCTGGTGAAATAAACGGGGGTAGGGCAACAGCAATAGCTTGTTTTGCCCATATCCATGGATTTTAGTGGTGAAAATAGTTAAATTTGGCATATGTTTCAGCTGACTGTATAGGAGAAACAGCTGACTGTGCTTTAGAAAGACCAGACACCATTCAGTCTTCAAAAGTAAGCTATTTTTCATCAAAGAGGTTTTAACATTGAGTGGGTGGGACCTCGGCTGATAATTTCTACTTTTTGAAAAGGGATAGTTTTGCTCAATCCAACAATTTTGCTTGTATGAATGGTAAGGATTGGAATAAAATATTTTGCACACAAAAACCTGAAAATATTTGTATGCAGAAAGCCAAACAACCCTCCGTTACGATAAGCTACACCACATGGTTCCATGGTATGAATTAGTTATGCCCTATTTCTTGATTCTACCCATATACCTGCATAAAAAAAAATCAAGGAGTTACTATTCCTTGTGTCTTTCAACATGGACAAAAATGCTTTCACTTTTATGGAAGATGAAGTAAGAGAAGGGGTGGCAGTATGTGGGGGCTGAGTGGAAAGCCTAGAATCCCTACATAGGCCAAATGAACTAAGTTCAACCCCTCTTGAGTGCCATTGACCCTTATCTAACTTTAATCAGGTGCTGACCATTAGTTGAGAAGATTCTTGTGCATGGGATTTTAGCAGTTCAACTGAACCCTCATGAGCAGTCCTGGTCTTTTACTCCTCATAGGTAAAGAGGCAGGAGACAGGAGCTACCTGGATTGTGAGCAAAGTGCAGTTAAAGTCATCTGGAAATTCAGATGTGCAGAGAGGATCAGTTCTGTAACCTATTCTCAAAAAGGAAGGGGAAAAAAAGACAATCCATGGTGATGGGAAGAATAAGTCTTTGAACAACGAGGAGGAGTTTCACTCAAAGGTTGGTGGACTGAAAGGTTGGTATGGTGGGCAAGGGATCTCCATTATTTCATAATGCTATGAAACTATGACAGATGAAAACTGGCTATGTTAAAATGACAGTTTTCAAGGTATGAAAAACAGTGTATCTGCCATAGATTTGCTCTGTGCAAACCAGGCAAATGAATTAACATTTTCACTACCCTTCCATGTCCAGAGTCCTAGCAATTCACCCAGCTACAAGCCCACCTACTTCATCTGCTGACCACTAGTGGTATTATAATCTCTTTATTTTTTTATTTTTTGCATTTTTGTAATTTAAAAAAACCCCCAATACATGTACTAAAACCAAAGTACTCTAAAAACAAACCCAATACATCTAAAAACAAAGTACTCTATTACTTCATCTCCTTTTTTCTTATACCCAGAGTAACATAACTAGACAAAACCAATCTGTGTAAGAAAAAATGGACTTTCTTAGTCTAGTTTAATCACCTATTCAGTGGAACTCTTGAGGACTGTAATGGGCACTGCAGTGACTCAGGTTTTAATTTGGAGAAAAACCTGAATCATTGCAGTCACCCATTAAATGTGCTTCCATATATATGTTTTCTAAAAGAAAATTGATCAATCTAACCACTCTTATGGTTTAATCATAAATAGATGAAGCACACTAAATTCAACTGAATTTAAGTAGCTATCACTTTAGAGCAGGTCCACTGAAATCAATAGTACTTAAATTATTGTCTATTTCACTATAACAGGTCTCCTCTAAGTACAATCATATTTGGATCCCAGATTATAGTCTTACACCAGTGAAGGTTTGAGAATTAAAGATGCCATATCTATAGTGATTTGTTTGGATGGGCAAAAAGTTCAAGCCCTAAAAGGCATAATCAGATATGTTTAATCTGAACTAGATGTAGATGTTAGTAGACATCACCAAAGTGTTTTATACAGTGGGCTCATAATTCTTTCTAATGTGCAAAGATGATCTTATTAAGAGAAGACCAATACCTTAAACATGAAATAATATATAATAAAATAAAATATGAAGATAAATAATAACAATATAACATCTCTAGCCTTTTGCCAAATGCTTTGGTTCTCCATTTAAGACTGAGCCATTCACAACAGCATATTTAGTTAATTATACCAAGAAGCACTTCGAAGAATAGAAATCCCTCCTGTTAAAAGAACAAAACAAAAAATCAACATCCAAGCATACAGCATAAAGACAACCTTAGGGTTCTCTTTAATTCGTCCCTTTTCTGTCTTGCACATTAGTGAATTGGAAAAACCTATGTAAAGCTGACAGGCCAGGCCAGGCCAGGACAAGCTCGGCTATCGAACTGCTACACAGGACCATATGAAACATGAAATAAGTCAGCAGGGCAGAAGGCAGTGTGACACGTTCCACTGTAGAAAATAAGCTTGCTATATTCTTAAATCTTGAACTCTTCCAAACATTGCAACAAAAGAATCACTTGAAGAGGAGAAATGGATGGTGAAGAATCCTTCTTGGTCCTGTAGAAATCAAGAATATCCATCAGTCAGCCGAAGATCTTCCTGAGGGTGGTGGGGCTTGGAAAGTCAAGGAGAGATGGATCCTTTGGAGTGGGTTCTATTTCCCCAGCTCACCCCATCAAGTTCTTAAGGTGCTCCACGCAGAATGAAATGTTTGGTAGAAATGTTGTTCCAGAACAACAGTGACCATGTGTCCAGCAGAGCTTCTGTCGGTGCCAAATACCAAATTCCTTCAGAGATGAAAGAGGACTGACGGGATCCAAAGAAAGACCACTAATGTAAATGAATGAATGGCTTGGGGACTCCATACAGCAGCATTTAAAATATAAGTGCCAACTCCAGGCATGATTCTTGCCAAGGTAGCCTCAGTTGCTGAATCTTGTGCCAACAGATTGTATGGGGAAGTTATTCCCAGGATGAGAAAACTCACGTTTCCTGCATGTTTTTATAGGTTTTAGAAAGGCAGTTCAGAAGATTTACCACGGTACGTAACAGAGAAATGAATGAATCAGCACTTATGGTTCTTTCCCATTACGTTCTCAAGGTGGCAGCATATTCAGTTCCTATGGTCTGTGAAACCTAAAAAAATGAAGACAGAAAGTCCAGACAAATGAGATAAATTACTACCAGCATTAGCACCCATACCCAGAAGAATCAAAGTGACAAAACCAACCAACCAAAAAACGAACTTTTTTAAAAAGTGGCTTTATTTACTATAGTACTTTAAGTTAAGGGTCTCCAAACTTGGCAACTTTTAAGACTTGTGAACTTCAACTCTTCAGCCAGCCATGTTGGCTAGGAAATTCTGGTAGTTAGTCCTCAAGACTTAAAATGGATAAATTTGGAGAGCTTTACTTGAAGTAAAATATGTGGCAATGTACTTGCCTCAGAAAATGCCAGACAATGATGAAACTATCAGCTCTAAGATAGGGCTGACTCCCAGTAATTACTTATTCAGCAAGCTACATAGAGGACATGAGAGAACCGACAGCATCGGTGTAAATATCACACACAAAATAGTGTTTCCCAACCTGACACACTCTACATAACTTGAAGCTGTAACTTCCATAACTCCCAGACAGCAGACCCAACATAACTGATGGATGCCAAGCTCTAAGAGACCCTTGAATTGGAAGGCAAGACTACTATGAACTTACGGTAAAGGGATTTGGTGAGTTATTTTTGTCAGGTGAAAAAAAAAAACCCTGAGGGCTCAGATGAGAAACAAGAAAAAGGCTAGAAAAAGGAAACTCAGGAAAGCAGTATGATGTGGAACTGTTGTGAAGAATAGGTAAATAGGAAGCATTCCTCTTTTGAAAGTATAATTTACACCCCACTTTTAGTTACATGTCTCTGGATTGCTTCACATAATAGATTTTTCAGAGTGAGATTCTTTTGACTCCAGGTTGTAACATACCAACAGAAAAACTCCCCCCCCCTCCTTATTAGGAATCCATGCCTTTGTCCTCATGGAGAAATGCAAGGTTTTTATTTATGTTTGTTAAGAGTAGTACAAAAGCAAAATTCAGCAGTGGCATCTTTGAGGCATTCTGACAATCGCTGGAAATTGAAATCATGGATTCCTTCAAGAATTTAACTATGTTTCTTCCCTGCATATAAAACATCAAGTAGAACCCTAGGAGATCATTCAAAATGTTAAGTTAATATCAGTTAATGATAATATCAAATATTATTGAGCAATAATAATGTTGAAATAGGGCTGATTGTCCAAGTTCAAGTCTACCCTCAGCCATGACAACACCTTGGTGATTCTGAGTCTGTCTGTATCGGCGTCTCTCAGCTTTTCTCAGAGGTTGTTGCAATGGGAATAAAATTGGAGGAGGAAAAAGTGCTACCTATGCTGCTTTGAGCAGGAGAAAAATCTAACAAATAAGATAAATAAATAAGATATAGGAATAGCCTCAAGCTTGGGTGGTTTCAAAGAACTTTTGTTTAAAAGAGTATTATCTTACCTTGTTAAATGCCTGCTTAATTCATGAACTTCCATTTCAGTGCTCTTAAATTCATTTAGCTCTTTGCGAATTGCTGCCTGCGTGTAACAAAAGAATAAGCGATTAGCCCAACCAAAAAGAAAAAGGTGAGTAAACTGGATGAGGAACAGCCAAACTTTGCGACTAAGGTGAGGTTGTGGAAGACAGGTGTCACTCTTCCACAGGGAAACCACAAGAGCATTTCAAATGGAAGAGATGCCCATCACACTCCTATACATGTCAATAAATGAGGAAAGGTTATAGTAAGAATAAAAGGCTTCTGTGGAAGCACCCAGAATAATTATGCAAGTGCATGTTAACAAAAAAAAAAACTAAAAATAAAAAAAAACACCTGGAACTAAAAATAACAAAAAAATTGATAAAAAGGGAGGAGAGGGGGGAAAAAACCACCACACAATTCTGGCTCCTCTTGGGTAGGACTTGTGATGAACTTTCAGCTGGCAAGGATGATGCTGTAGTCACTACCACAGAAAATAAATGTAATTGTATCTCCTGGTTACTGGTTCCCTCCAAAAATATCTGAGATGTTTCTTCAGCCTCCTGGCTGTTTCTGAGGCTTGTCCTACTTACTTTGTCAGCAGCTGTTAGCCTTGTCCATGGTTTATCTGCTCGTCTGTCGTAGTCCTGAGCATCTGCCACTTCTACGTAATCACTAAAACGGATGAGAATTTTCCTCTCTCTCAACTCTTCCACTGTAGGCCTTTGACTTAGCTGTGGGAAGAGCAAAATGGGAAAAGAATATCCAAAATGTCCTCCTTTCCAGAAGTCGTTTCCAAATGTCTTAAACAACAGAGCTATAATGGTAAGGCTGCTTTATTTTCAAGTTAATTTTACCGGTAGCCCTCAACTAAGCCCAAAATTTCTGTTGCTAAATGAGACAGTTGTTAATTGAGTTGGGCCTCATTTTATGACCTTTTTGCTACAGTTAAGTGAAGCGTTGCCGTTAAATAAATCATGCGGTCGTTAAGCAAATCTGGCTCTTCTCCCCCCCGCCCCCGATTGACTTTGCTTGTCAGAAGCTGGGCGGGAAGGTTACGAATGGTGGTCACATGACCCCCCGAAAAATGCAACTGTCATAAATACATGACAGTTGCCAAGTGTTTGAATTTAGATCATGTGACCATGGGGATGCTGCAATGGGCAGAAGGGTAAAACCAGTCTCATAAGTCACTTTTTCCAGTGCTGTTGCAAAATTCGTATCGTCACTAAACAAATGGTTGTAAGTCAAGGACCACCTGTATTGCCTAGGAACTATTACCTGCTGCTTAATTATTAGACAAAACCATATATCATGCAAAGAGGGATCAAGAAGATGCAACCTCAAATAAGGGTATGTGTGAGCCCCAGGATCACATTTAGCCTGATTTAAAAACCCTTTCAAATAATCTACATTTTTACTCCCTTCTTTTCTGAGGAAAACTTCCCCCTCATTTCTTCCCTCTTTGAGACTTATCCAGATTCTTTTCCTCTTCTTGTTCCCTGTTTCTCCAACAGAGTATCAAAAGAGGCAGGTCCTTTCAGCTGGAATGTTTTTTTTTTTGTCTGTGTTATCAATCCAAAAGCTAGTCATCTTTACTTTTTTATCTGCTGATGAAAAGGCAATACGGATTGGAAAACCAAATGGAAGACAATGAGGCTATCCAGACCTTCTGTTGGTCTGCAAGGGATGGTTTTGAAGAAGAAGAAAAAAATATCAATGGTAAATATATAGCACAGTATCCTCCGTGGTCACTGTAACACGGCAGTTAAAACTTGCACGGAGAAGCCCTTTTGATTGGCTCAGTTAAGGGAGTCAGGTTTTATTTATTTATTTATTTATTTATTTATTTGATTTGATTTGCCAATTGTTTACAAGATAATAAGTATAAGTGTATACATAGTTGTGAATACATGAAATGGGTACATATAAGAAAAATAAAAGAATAAGAGAAACAATAGGACAGGGACGGTAGGCACGTTGGTGCGCTTATGCACGCCCCCTACAGACCTCTTCTTGTGAAATATTTCTGGACTTTCTCAATTGTGCTAATATCA